CCCCCCCCCCCCCCCCTTCTGTCGGCCGCTTTGCAAATCCAAAAGTCAGTCAAGCAGAACTCCCTCGCCACTTCCACAACTAATACCGAGGCCAGAAGCTCACACCGCTTACTGGCACAATAAGCATCAAGAACTAAAAGAGGAAAACAGCCCCTCCGTTTGCGTCGGACGGAAACCCGGTCATCCCTAAACGTGAAAGTGTCCTCTGCATTCGCAGTGGTTGACATGCACGTGGATATGAACCGATACATATGTAGGTTTCTACCTGGAGGAGAGTGAGACGACATCATTCTCAGGGAGATAATGGAACCACGGATTTGGTATTCATGTTAGCCAAGAGAGTCGCTGCAAGGAAGACTCAATTAGACAAAAAAGAAAAGGACAATTAGCTAATGCTGCCTTTTCTTGTGGGGTAAAAGTGTCTTTTCCCAGAACAATTACAATCTGGATTCCAGGGAACACTAATGACTCCAACTGCAGGTTTTTTATTTTGGTCCATCGCGAGGGGCCAACACTTGATTTATCCGAGACGTGTTTTACATACACTCGACGAGAACAGGACAAAGCCCTTTTCTTCCATTTATATTTCAAGCAAACTAATGTTGACGAGCGTATTGCCGCTTGGTGCGACCAGAGCTTTGGGGGTCCTGGACTGTCGCATAGCGCTGGATGCCGACATGTGGCTGATTGATCCATTCATCAGCGCATTGACTGACCGATCAGTGCGGTTGGTGGTGGCTGATTGCACCCGATTGATCACAGCTCCCCTACTGTCCTTTGTGAGAACCCCCCCCCCATTTGAGACACACACACACGCAGCCTCTCTCAGCCCAGTGCCTCTGTCATAAGATCTGCACATCAAACACCAACATGGTGGAAACAATTTGAATCCCATGCCGTCACTTAGGACCACATCAACGAAGCAACCTCTCCTCACAGCCAGCAGGTGCTTGTGCCAAACCTGCGCCGATTTCTTTTCACTTTTCCCCGCCTCCTATGCACATTACACACAGACGTGCTCTCACTGACCACCCTAAAAGATATTATCATGATTTATTTGGCTGCAATCGGCTCCTTATTCAATGACAATTAGTGTTCAGTGCAACCGATCGATGGGAAAGAGCAGCCGGGAGATGCAGCTGTGGTCCTGGGGACAGTGAGGATGTCTTCACTCCTCCTGGGCTCCTTCAACTGATCCTGCGAAGTGACTTGGCATCAGATCTCTGCATTATGGGTCACAGGTCAACACTGAGTGTTTGTGGAGGAGCAGGGGGCCGCGCGGGGGGGGGGGGCGCTGGGATGAGAGGTTGCCGAGGAAGGCGCTGCCTTTGTGCGTCAATGGAGGATAATCTCATGACTGTCGAAGGAGGAAGCGGCTGTTTAAAAGGAGCTCTCTATTCCAGCTGCTCTCCTTAGAAGAGAGGTTAAAGCAATCTGTCCCACTTCAAAGAGCAAAGACACACACACATTCAGGCCTTCTGTTTCTGGGCCTGCCGACAGATGGAGGCGATCCACTGTGCCCAACTTTAAACACTGAGAAACCCGGAACGCAACACCGAGGCCTTCGTGACAAAGCATATCGCACACAGGGGCGTTTTACATGGCAACAGATTAACGGGACGGGCCCATGGGGAAAGAACATTAAATCACACTGATAAGAAATATTGAATATATTAAAAGCAGTAAAACTCTCCGATGATTCTTTCTTGTTAACATTCTTGTTTCTTGGAAACGGAGCGAAAAAATAAGGCTGACGTTATTCTGTATTTTTCTTATTGTCAACAATCCCACGAAATGTATTGTTTAATAATTTAACCTTCATTTTTTGAGATTTAGAATCTATTTTCAGAGGGAGTAGGTGAGGGCAAGAAATCAGCATGAAAGCACAAATATCGGACAAAACGGCTAAAAGTTAACATAAAAAAATGTGCATAAAGGCGAAAAAGCAACAGACTTAAAACAAACTTAAGATATAAACTTTAAAAACAGGTCACAAATACAAAAGTTGTATTCAAAAAAAGGTTCACCGGTTCCCTAAAACAGCTGGGCACTGTAGTCTTCAGCAAACATTACTCAAACGGGAGTAAATCGGCATTCAATGAGGACTATTTTCAGTCGCGGATTGATACACATTTGGCGGTCCAGAGAGTATTTCCAGCAACAGGACGGTGTGCGTGGGATTGAGTCAAAATAAACTGCAGTGCGCGCGTGTGTCTCTCTCTCTCTATATATATATATATATATATATATATATATATATATATAGTATAGTATATATAGTATATATAGTATATATAGTATTTGCTTTATGACTGTCCATATTGACTGATGAGGTGCAGTAGCAGTCTGGTTAGTAGATGTCTCTAACGTTTGTATTTTCAATGCAATCAGAAAGAAGTGTGAACGAGTCGCAGAAATATGTGACACACCAGGGTGCCAGCCAATAGACAACTCCTCTGGGGGTTTATGGTCCTCCCTCCCTCACCCCAATCCCATGCAATAAGTCACACTGAACTGTCGTCGCACCAATATAATAATCCAATGAGTGCATTTAGAACTCGGCGATTAAACCCCAATTAGGTGGAGACTGTGAGACTGTGTGCAGAGAGAGCGAGAGAGACAAGACGATGAGTGGACAATGAGCTAACTATTCATTCTTCATTACCAGAGGCAGGGGACAGGGGCACCCCTTTGTGTCAGCGGGGGCAGTGGCATTGTCAGATCGCGCCATTATTTTCCCCGCTGCCACGCTGCCAGCCGAGCTGAGGTGTGCCAGCGGGGGGTTGGCAGGTTCAGCGCCGATTGCTCGCCGCTCCGATCATTTCTCCTCCCGTTTCGCCGATCGTACATCACGCCCCCGACCCCGGATGTGTGATTGCTCGAGGTAGAAGGGTGGGGGCATCCAAAGAAGGGGACAACAAACTCGGCTCGCCTGCCCTCCTGCCAGCCATTAACGGCGGGGGGGAGCCAGTAAATCAGGCGTGACCCTCCCCGCCCCGATCTGACTGGACGCAAGCCAGAGTTATCCACTCCTCTCTTGCTGTGGCCGGCTAATTTAATGCCTCCAAACACCGTGGATTCATCATTGACACACACACACACACACACTCTCAACATGGAGGAGGTGGTGAGAGTGGACGCATTATCGCCCCGTGAAGTTAGCCTGTGCGTGACCCACTGATCAGCGGTTGACCCCGGTAAACCCGGCCTGTGTCACCCCCCAAAAAAACCAGCAAGCAACCCCGCACACAGACCGCCTCGCCCCTTCCCATGAACTCGGCAAGCTGCGCGAGAGGCGACGCTGATGGGGTTTTGGCGGCGGCGGTGACTGGCCCTTCGACAAAAAAAAAACGAGCTTGGAGAGGTAAGAGGGGCGTGCAAGGTAACGATAATGTGCCCTATTTATCTTACGCATCAGAACATCTGGGAAACTTCTCTAAAAACAATGGTGCGCATTGAGGGGCCGCCATTCTGGCCTTTACCTTCAGAAAGCGGCATTTGTCCCCTCGGAATGGGTAATGGACAGGCCACAAATCATTCAGGACAACAGGACGGAGGGGTGTGTGTCTGTGTGTGTGGGAGAAACTGAATGTATGTGTATGTTTTGTGTGAGTGTGTGTGTGTTCCCCCCTGGTATTTAACTTCTCTGCTTGGCCCATTCTGCAGGGCCCCGCAGGACAAATTGCCCTGCATGGTTGTCTTTGAGAGGCAGTGCAGCGCGCAGAGAAAGGGACAGGGCTGAAACACAGGGAACAGGCCTATAAAAATTCATCACTTTGACCCCGGCG